GGGGGGGTGTCTGAGCGAGCGGCTGCATAGGGTTTTTTTGCTGGGGTTAAACCACGACACTAGGCACCAGCAGAAGCGCTGGGACCCAGCAATCTCACGGTTTTGCCAAGAAGCAACACCCAGGCAAGCAGCAAAATACAGAACGCGTCTCTCCCTGTCAGACAACCAGACCCAGCTCCTTACCTGCGGCAGGGAGGAAACCCACACCTTTACACCAGGGAGCCCTTGGCGGCGAGAAGCCCACTCTGAGGGCAGGGGGAAAGACGCAGGGTCAGTCCCATCAAAGTCACCGCTACTGCCAAGCGTATTTGCTGTTCCAGCGCTTGCCTCTGGTTACAAGAACCAGACTGCACAATAAAGTCCCAACCCTCTATAAAATGCACAAAGTCATGTCAGTGCAGGTGTGTGCCATAATTTTCTCAAGAGATTAAAGACCACCTCCTACAGCTCTAAGCAATATGCTGTTTAAGTGCCACGCTCTTCATGTCTTGCTTCTACCAGTGTCCTTGTCACTTTTCAGCTTTGCCCTGCTGCTGCTATTCTTTGCCATCAAAAAATCCTCTCCCAGGGGCTGGCTGCTGGTGCCAGCAGCCTCACACCCCAGATGTATAGAGGAACTGAGGTAACGCTGTCCCACAGGAGTCGACACCTCTGGATTTAGCAGGATCAAACTCAACATGTTCTTCAATGCATGTTAGTAAAGTTTTGTTTTTCCACTCTACCTCTTACTTCATGCTTAATTCAAGCACGTCTCTTCCGGATGCTTCTTTTGAAGAGCGTGGGATGGGTTAGGGGCGTGCAGGACAGCCCTGAAGCAGCAGCAGTGGGTATATCTGTGGGTAACAAGATGTTCCCGGAGAACTTGGCTCACGTGTTTTGCCCAAAGATCAAGCTCTGTCCTATTCCTGATAGGGCAGTGCTGGAGAGGAGGCTGGTCCAGCAATCCAGGAGGAAACAAAACAAACAAAAAAAGACCAGTCTGGGATTAGAGTGTCCAATTTAATTTAAGTGCAAGGAGGAAGCAGGGATTATTGGTTACAAGAAACACTCTGTTATTCCAAGCTACACGTAAAATCATGGCTGGCTTCTCACCAAGCACCCCAGGTTTTGCAGGGAGACCAAGAAATACGTTAAGGTCTCTGCAGAACAAACCACCATCCAAAACACCATTGTTATCCAAATTTACAGAACACTGTTGCATAATTTGTGTTTAAAACAGTAGTAAGGCTCTAAAGCAGCCTGGCCTTCGTGATCCAGCTCGGGAAAGCAAGGCAACACCCATACTGAGGGAAGGGTGAGGAAGGGAAGGTGTGAAGGGTGAGATGAGGGAAGAGAGGATGTGGGTGATATAAAGTAAGTGCTCTACCACTCATAAACCAGGGGATTAACAACTGGCTTGTACCAAGTGACCATTATTTGCTCCTTACAGCTTAAAAATCCATAGCAGCCAGCCACGCTCCCAGAGCCGTGCACGTCCCTGCTGAGAGGTCCAAGTGGCAGATGAGGAATCCCCAAAATACCCCTTCCCATACCGGCTCTGGCCTCAACAGAAGCACAGAGTCTCTGTCAAGCCCGTTGGGCAGCGTGACAAAGGATCAGCAAGATAAAAGTTGGAAAGAAGCGGCAGCCTGCTCCTACCACAGGGCCACTGCATCCCCTAGAACCATCGCACCGTGCAGTGCCTGTGGCAGCACCTGATGATTCGCCTCCTTGCACCCGCTGCTCCCCGAGCCCCGCATCCCGCTCTGAAGACCTCCCTGCAGTATTGCTGATGGGGCTCCGAGCGGGCCTCTGCTCCCAGCATTGCAGGAGGATACAGGCAACTCAGCCCAGCAGCTCCACCCAGAGACAACGGATATCACAGGCAAACCCGAACAGAGAAGCAAGCGGGAGCTTCACAGCTACGCGACAGCAAGTCCAGTCCCTCCAGCGCTGGCTGCCGGGACAGAGTGCACCGACCTGCTCTGTGCACAGGCATGCAGCATGGGGAGGGCAACTGCCTGCGGGGAGCCGCAGGCCACAAAGCTCAGTGTTTATTACACACACGACAGCAGGCACGACTTGGACCATCGTTTCAAACAAGCAGATTACACATTTAAAATCTTAAAAAGCTGCAGCACTCTCTGGATGCTTTTTCTGGCCTGCCTCAAGGAGCGGAGTGAGCGGGCACTGATTTGTGCATTTATTGCGCAAGCCAGGTAACTGTCACATGGGGCCGGGACCCTTCACTGGGGTAAAACGCGCCCTTCATCTGTCCAGCTGCACACACCAACACGGACAGCAAACTGGCTGTACGAATTCACGTTTTGTCCTTATAGCAGCGACTTCATGGCACCAGTGTAAAGGACTGCTCCAGCCCTTAGAGCACAGCAACTGAAACACAGACAAACACGCACAGAGCACAGTGTTGAGGGGCCATTTGGACAAACAGTAAAACTCATTACACACCAGAGACTGGGACAAGGAACTTCTCAAAGGACTACACACATTCATTTCCTACCTGGGCTCTCACACACCCAAGGAAACGCACAGACAGCAAGTGCCCTGAAGCAAAGATTCATTCTCTTCTCTCCAACAGCAACCGAGGGCTGAATTTTAGCTCAAGATTTAGCAGTCTTTTTAAGATTAGCTGGAAAGGCCTTTCCCCTGCAGCCCCTGTACAATTTGAAGCCGCGAATGCTGCACGCTTACAGGGTGTGTGACTCTGTGGCGCTGCGAGTTCTTCCAGGGTGTAACTCCTGTGTGCTAAGCTGGCAGCCCCCAGCATGTCCTCACTGCAACACACTGGGAAGCTCAGCTAAGAGGCACGCGAGCACTACAGGGTCTGCTGGATGGATTCCTATCGGCTCCAGCGCAGCAGAGATGTCTCTATTTCCTAGAAGCCTCTTTACACCACCACTTCCTGCGTGCTCTCGAGGTCACGCTGGTTGAGGAACCGAGAGGTCTTTCGTTTGGCAGTGGCATGGATACTGCCTGGGGGTGCGGGGAATAAGACAGAGGAGCTGAAGGAAAGAAGAGACAGATGGGTCTTCCCACTCTCCCTCTTGCCTGGAGGTTTAACAGGGGAAAAGAAACCAAAACAAAAGCCACGCTTGAGTGCTATTCTTTGCGCTTTAGAA